TAACCACTATGGGGGCTCAACAATTGGAATACAACGAGAGATGTGCGCAAACAATGAAGCTATGAACGAACGATTAAATGCTCTTACACTCAAAATGCGAGCACATTATCCTCCTCCTCCCGATCCACCTATGGATGATTAGACCTTGCATTGCTTAGTTTTCTTGGATTGATCTTAGAACTTAATTGTTAAAACATTTTGGATGTTTTTGGATTGATTTGTTATGGATGTTTGAACTTGAGTATTTATTTATATATATTTGGTTTTGATGGTTTGAATTTGGTTTGATCAGTTTATATTGTTTTTCTTAATTTTTGCATCATTAGTTAAATTTGACCAATTTACCATTTCACATTGATTATGAATATTGTTTATGAACTAATGGCTAATCTTTCTCTTGATTGTGATCTTAGCAGCTTAGGCTTTATCTAAATATCAATTGGCTAATTTTTTAAAACCTTGTTTAAAAATGTTTTATAGAGTCTTTTTGATTTAACAAAAGGGGGAGAATAATAAAGTAAAGGGGAGTAATTTTTAATTTTTCAAAATTGATTTCAAAAATGATTTTCAAAGGAAATCTTACAATTACTTAAATGTTTTGTTATATCAAAAAGGGGGAGATTGTTGAAAATATTTTGATGTTTCGATATAACAAATAAAGTATAAATGAATTTTAAGATTTTATATCCGATTTTCAAATATTCGATTAAATTATTCGAATATAAAAAATATTACTCCAACATTTTTAAACGTCAATTTTAATCTTTACTAAAGTGTAAAATTGAGTATGAGTCTTAAAAATATTTTTAAAATAATTTTTACAAAGTAGTTCGAACCTTACTCGAGCCAAAAATAAATTTTATTAAGGGATGTACCGATACACTCTTGGATGTATCGGTACACACCAAACATCGAATGCATTTTGTGTACCGATACACATCTAATGCATCGATACACTCCTGGCTCTATTAAAACATCGAATGTAATTAGTGTACAGATACACCCCAAGTGTACTGATACACTAGGTCAACCAACAGTTGAAATATTTGAATTTTACACGTAGTGTACCGATATACCCTTGAGAGTGTACCGATACACTTACGCTCCCAACAGATTTTTTAAAATGATAATTACACCATAACAATTATATTGACTTCACCAATGATCCCCAACATTTAGAAGTGATCCAAGGTGTATTTAAACAAGCTCAGGAGCCATTGATCAAAAACAAGAAACAAGGATGGTGAGAGAAACAAAGAGAAAGCCTTAAACATCAAAATTGAGCAATTCAAGACTATTTTCATTCAATATTCATTTTGCTTTCAAGAACACCATTTTTGCTCAATTGTATTCATTCTTGAGTGTTATTTCTTTGTTATAGAATTGTGTAAACATCTTGCCTTTTGAGGTTTTCTGTAAGTTTGCGAAATTTGTAATTTTCTCTTTGGGAGAGAGTGTTCTCAAGAATTTGGGGTATAATTCTTGAGGGAGTTGTAAGGTTACTCTTTGTCCTCAAAAGAAAGACAAATTAGTGAATTTGTCGAAAATCCTTAGTTTGGATAGCTAAGGTAGTGGACGTAGACCTTGGTTGAGAAATTCGAACCACTCTAAATTGTTGTGCAAATATTTTCAATTTTCTACAAAAGCTTCCACCAAAATTTTTATTACCAATTCACCCCCTTCTTGGCCGATTCGTCGATCGATTAACTCAACAAAAACATTAAGAAAAAATAAATAAAAAGTTCATAATTAAATAATAAAAACAATAAGAAACAAAATAAATAAAAAGTCCATAATTAAAAAACATTAAAAAACAAAATAAATAAAAAGTCCATAATTAAATAAAAAACATTAAGAAACAAAATAAATAAAAACAAGTCTATCGATTTCTGCATGTTGAATGTGTTTCACAGGGCGGTGGTTGTCTATATCAATGAGGATTTCTTTGTATAAGTTGTTATTCCCCTCACTCTCATCATCATCATCATCAGTAGCAACAACAGCAACAACTACTACATTTTGTTGATGAGGGACAAATGACGATGTAGCACCTCCATAAAATAAGGACCCTGTAGGTGTATGACTAACCATCCCACCGCTTATAGAAAAATGTGAAAACAACGAAAACATTGACATCGATAAATGCAAAAACTGAGCCGTAGGTGTCTGTGTCTTTGGTGAAACATCACCTACAAATAAGCAACATATGAAGACCATATTGGATCTATACTCATAGGAGTATATCTACTAGAAGATGTCATAAAACCCTACGGTGGTAGCGTCTGAAATGGCTACAGTAGCATCGGAACGGATACGATGCCATTTGAAGTAGATGTGTGGCATCTAAAATGGTTGCAGAATATAAACCGGTGACTGTTGTGATAGTTCCGGTGCTGCAACTAAGGACGAGCCAGAAGCATCTTCTCTCTGTCCACAAGTCGAGAGACGATGATGCTTTGACGGTGGATGTTTTTCACGACGCCAACGAATGTTCCCGCCTCATGCTTCCTCAGAAAGTAGGAACGACTTCCCGTTCATGTTGAACCATTGATAATAGTCACCCACAATCGAATAATTATCCACATAAATTGGCTCTCTACGGGGAATGCGTCCACATCGATTCTCCTAGATCATTACCCACTCGCTGTGCTTCATCATCCATTTGACTTCTTTTTTGCCCAGTCTATCGATGTTATACATATTGTCAAGACTCCTAGGTGCTTCAGGAATAGATTGTACAAAACCAAATTGGCAGAGCATGCGATCAATTGGATGCCACTCAACAATAACATAACATATTAGAGGGACCACCGCCATCCATACATCTAATGGGCCACTCAAGTGATGTGGGATGCAACACCTCATTTTTTCAGTAGGATAAAGAGCCCATTGAAACTAAAACAAATATATATATAATTCTTATCAAAATAATATTTTAATTATATAACGATAATTAAAGGTAAATAATAAAATTTAAATACATACCTCTATACCAGCCTTTTGATCAACGAGCAGTCGAATTTCTTCCAATTCGTTCGGTATATCACGATGATTTTTATTTATAGATGACCACCTATTCAGTGTAAAAAAAATTCATTATATACTCAAAAAAAATTATTTATATACAAACTCATTATTGAAATTACCTCAACAATAACTGGAAGACTAACGAGTTTTTTACGACCGGACATAAAAAGGGCATGTGATTCCACACTCATGATTGCAGAAAAAGGAGACATCGATCGATAGCATTTTTCGATAATCAGTTGCTCGACGCATTTCACTATACAAAGATGTCAAAATCGTGGATCCCCAATTGAATGAGCCAGTAACTCAAAAATCTGTGAGATAACACAACCACATACAATGAACTTGGTTGCTAGATTTATCGAGCATAAAGATCTCTCCTATGATTTGCAATATAGAAACCCGAGCAAATATTTGAGCCACTTCCTCGGAACATTCATCGCTGAATCGTCGAAAATTTCTAGCCAATCATGATAACAATATTCGACGGCCATTGAAATTAGGTGCGATACCTCCAAGATACTCCTCGCACAAGGAATGCCAATCACCATCCACCACACCAGAAATAAAATCTCCATCTATCGGAAGCTCTAAATGTAAGGAAACATCCTCTAGTGTAATAGTGCACTCCCCACACGGAAGATGGAATGTGTGTGTCTATGGTCTCCACCTCTCAATCAGTGCAGAAATAAGGTTGAATTCAAATTTAAAGTTTCGCTATGTAACTTAATATTTGCTTAAAATGATAACTATTAAATGATTATAATATAATAATAAAAATTTAGCTTCTAAAAATGATAATTATACTTGCTTAAAACTTGATATAACAATATATAAAAGGAAGAAATAAAGTGTTTTTTGTATGGTACAAGTGTTGGATGAGGGGTATTTATAGGGGAGGGGGACGGAGGGTTGGACGATATTTAAGGCATGACAGTTGGGTAATCCGTGCCTTCCGCCACGTGTCTGATTCCTAGCAAAGACGCGCGTCTTGATATGAGCTTTACCACCGTGGCGCCAGCTCGAATAAAACCTCGTGAAAGCGCGGATTATAATCCACGCTTTTCTATCGTGGCGCCAGCTCGGACAAAACCCTGCGAAGACGCGCCTCTTGATCCGCGCTTTGTCGAAAAGTGTACTATATCGATAATAATTGGAAAAAGATGTCTGACAAATAATATTTAACTGTTAGAGTGATTTTTAGATAAAATTGCCTCAATACTAATGTGATCATTTGATCCTGTTTTAGACTAGATTTAGATAAATGCCCATAATTATACAATATAAATAGTAATTAAATTATAGTGGAGTCAGTTTATCAAATATCAGTGATTACTATATGTAAATTTATTTTAGCGTTGATAATAGTGTTATTTATCATCGATAATGATATTGTTTATATTTATTCTTTATTTTAATTATTTAATTGGATTTTAAAATTTTTAGTTTAATTAATTTACTATTGTACTTGTATATTTTTATATAAGTTGACATTTTTTCTTTATTGAATAAAATTAAATGTCACTGTTAATCTTTTTAAGAAAATAAAGTTAAAATAATACTATAATTGCATTTCAATTGTGAAATTATACTTTAATCCCTTAAGAATTTGCTAAATTATTGATTAGCCTAATGGTAACATTACACTTTGACCACTAAAAATTTTGCAATTCGGTTCTAATTCTTTTAATGGAAGACTTAACAAAAGGAAAAGCATAGGATCAAAATCTAGAAAGGGGCAGTGAGTAAGAAGTGAAGTGAGATTTGAAAAAGTGTCATACCTTGCTTGCATCGCTTTCTCAATACCAATTTTTTCTATATATTTTATTAATTAGTGTGTACGTAAAATGTATATCGTATTGAATTTTCTTCCCAGATTTTACTGCAACTCTGTTTTTCTCCAATTTTCGCCGACACGGGTAGAAGACAACACTCTTCAATCAATCTCATACATAATTCAACACACTCTCTCTTCATTACTATTCTCAAGCTTCGAATCTATTCTTTCTTTCTCTTTCTTTTTCTTTAATGGCGATGCCTCCCAACGACTGCTACTTCACATTCTCCTCCTCCTCCTCCTTCACCTGTGCTTGGGCCTCCATGGTTCTCCACCCCTAAACTTTGCCAAAGATCACCTGTAAACTTACAGTACTTTCTATTATTAATCCAAAAAGGGAAAATGGGTTGCATTAACAATGGTTTATCTCTTTCTATCGCTCGTTTGTTACTTGCTGAGTTGGTCTTACTTGGGTTAATCTTTGTTTTCACTCCTGCTCAATGCAACACTGATTCTACCGATGGTATTTTTTCTCTTCTTCTTATTCTTCTTCTTCTTCTTCTTTTGTTTTTTAAATTGTGTTGGCATTGGCAAGTCTGTTTCTCTTTTCTGTGTGCTTTAGTCAAGAAATGGTCTTTTGGTTGGAAGGCTTGATCTTTTCTGCAGTGTAATGTGTTTGTTTCTCCAGAAACATGAGAAGAAAATGAGAGAAAACATAAGTTTGGTTTGATTTCTGATATTGTCGTTTTCTGGGGAAAATGATGATACTCTGTGTACACGGTAGCAAAAAATCTAGTATTTCTGGGTTTTAGTTATATGCATGGAAGGTTTAATTCAATCTTACATGTATTGGCTTTATTTTTGGACAGTTCAAGCTCTTCAGGTTCTGTATACTTCACTGAACAGTCCTGCAGTGTTAACAAATTGGGAAAGTGGTGGTGGTGATCCATGTGGAGAGTCATGGAAAGGGGTTACCTGTGAAGGCTCGGCTGTCGTTTCCGTGTAAGGCAGTAAAATCTATTCGTTTTCGGAATTTCGTATGTTGATGATGAGTTTATATTTTGATTAATTTGTTTGCTGTTCTTTGTATAACAGTGATATTTCTGGATTAGGACTATCTGGAACTATGGGATACTTACTCAATGATCTTATGTCCTTGAGAACGCTGTAAGATGGTTCCATTGCTCTAGTGTCTGCTCGAAACATCTAGATCGTATCTCTTTTATTAATCATCTAACTAGTTAATAGGTTTTCTTCTTTGCTTTATGTTAGTGATTTGAGTAACAACTACATTCATGATACAATTCCGTACCAGTTGCCACCGAATCTTAAGAGCCTGTAACGTCTCCGATTCATTTTGTTTCGTTGCTATAATGTGTTCTTTTTACTGCTAAATGTTAAAATGGTTGTTTATTATACGATACAGGAATGTTGCAGGTAATAACTTAAGTGGGAGTCTTCCTTATTCCATTGCCAATATGATTACTCTTGCTTACCTGTAAGTGGCACACCCGGATAGTATGTGTCTTTAGTTAATTGAAGCAAAGTTGAGCGGCAAATCGAACTTCCTCTCATTTCCTATTCATAAATCTTTTGTGTTATAGGAATGTAAGCCATAATTCATTGTCCCCGTCCGTTGGAGACATTTTTCCGAATCTTCCTGACCTTGATACATTGTAAGGGAGCCTGACCCTGTCGTCTGTTTCCGGTACTGAACATTTTTCTAACAACATTATGATTTGGTTACCTTGTTAACGCAGGGATATTTCTTTCAACAATTTTAGTGGGGATCTGCCAGTTTCGTTTAGCTCGTTGGGCAATCTTTCTTCTCTGTAAGTGTTGCCCCATTAAGAGATTTATGTAGCATGACCGAGTGCTGTTAATATCTGAATTTGTGGCAGGTATGTGCAGAACAATCAATTTACTGGCTCTCTTGATGTCCTCCCGGGTTTACCGTTGAAAACTCTGTAAGTTACTCTTCTCGAACCGCTGTTGGGCCTACACTTTCGGTTGTATGTTCTTATGCACTCTAGATTCTGAAACAGAAATGTTGCGAAGAACCATTTCACTGGATGGATTCCTCAAGAACTTCTTTCACTCCCAACTTTTATGTAAGGCTTGATGCATTTTTGATGCCGGTTTAACTTTTCGATATTCAGTGTATGCAAAATGTTTTGACTTTTTCTATAAAAATATGAAACAGATATGATGGCAACTCCTTTGACAATGGGCCTCATCCTTCGTCACTGTCATTTAGTCCGCCTCCACCCGGTAGATCTCATAATAGGCATAAAACTGGATCTGGAACTCGTACGGCCCCCACACCTGATGCTCAATCATCGGAGTCTGATAATGGCTCATCAGCTGGACAAATAGTAGGCATGGCTATTGGTTCTTTGTTGGTAGTTTTTCTGGCACTACTTGCTGTTGTTTTCTGCATTCGTAGAAGTAAAAGAAAGGCGAGTGGCGCAAGACCTTCTAGGGGAAGTCTTTCAGTTAGCTCGAACGACGGTAGGTTTTGTTATTCATATTTACATTATCCAAGCAGTAAATTGCCTTGAAATTTTACCTTTTGGTCACACCTTTGGATTGCTTAAAGCTTCATCGAAAAACTTTTTAGCATCCTAACAAAGCCGAACCGATATTCTGCTTCGTTTTTTGCAGGACATGCCAAGATGCAAGAGCAAAGGGTTAAAAGTGTTGCTGCTGTTATAGATTTGAAACCACCACCGGCCAAAAAAGTGACGGTTGATAGGATTTCCAAAAACGGATCAATAAACAGAATGAAGTCTCCCATAACTTCCACATCATATACCGTCGCGGCTTTGCAAACAGCAACAAATAGTTTTAGTCAAGAATACCTTATCGGTGAAGGTTCCCTAGGTCGTGTTTACAAGGCGGAGTTTCCAAACGGAAAGGTAGCTGCACCGTAATAAGTATACAATATCAAAATTTTCCGGGTAATGCATCAGTTTTCACCATGACAACTAAATTCCTTTTGTGTTGTTTGGTGTAGACAATGGCTATTAAAAAGATAGACAATGCTGCATTATCATTACAAGAGGAAGATAATTTTCTGGAAGCCGTCTCCAATATGTCACGCTTGAGACATCCCAATATTGTTACATTGGCTGGATACTGTGCCGAGCACGGACAGCATCTTCTGGTATATGAATATGTTGGGAACGGTAGTCTTCACGATATGCTGCACTTTTTTGATGAAGGAAACAAGACGTTAACCTGGAATGCCCGTGTCAGAGTGGCGCTTGGCACTGCCCGTGCTTTAGAGTATGTTTATATGTGCACTATAATTTTTCGTCTATCTCTCCCTTCGTCTGTGTATGTTTGTTTTTTATGAAGCTATTGTTTCAGGTACTTGCACGAAGTCTGCTTGCCATCAGTTGTACATAGAAATTTCAAGTCGGCAAACATCTTACTTGATGAAGAACTCAATCCTCACTTGTCCGACTGTGGTCTAGCCGCTCTTACACCGAATACAGAGCGACAGGTAAAAGTGTTCTTAGGACCGTAAGTCATTGGTGAACAAGGTTTTTCTCTGTCCACGATGGAAAGTTTTATGCAAGCTTTTTTCTGTTTGGTTCCGTATGGGGTAGGTTTCGACACAAGTGGTTGGTTCATTTGGCTATAGTGCTCCTGAGTTTGCGTTGTCCGGGATATATACCGTAAAGAGTGATGTGTACAGTTTTGGAGTGGTGATGTTGGAGCTACTGACTGGTCGGAAACCACTTGACAGGTAAAACACATTGTCTTATATAGTGATCTTTTATATATCGGCATTTGTCCAGTAAAAATTTTAGGTACAATCGGCATTGCTTAATGTTTAGTTCAAGGGTGAGATCGGAGCAATCACTTGTAAGATGGGCCACTCCGCAACTGCACGATATCGACGCCCTTGCAAAAATGGTTGATCCTACCCTCAATGGCATGTATCCTGCGAAATCACTGTCACGTTTCGCCGACATCATTGCTCTGTGTGTTCAGGTAAAAGTAACTTGCTAATGCTTGTAGACAAAAAATAAAACAATTATATGAGACTTATTTTGGTTGTTTATATGCAGCCGGAACCCGAGTTTCGGCCTCCCATGTCTGAGGTCGTGCAAGCATTAGTGAGGCTAGTGCAAAGGGCGAGCGTTGTCAAGAGGCGACCAAGCGAGGAACAGGGATTTGTGTAGAAGACACCCGATCATGAAACAGGGGGGACCTGTCATTTTAAGGTCTAGTTGGGACTCCGAGCTAGAAATTGATGCCTTGCGGTCATGTATATCTCACATTTTCTCTCGAGTTTAAAAAATTTAGAGTGCAAATATATAGGTGTTGGACAATGTACTGTTTTGCATCTTAATAAAGATAATAATCTTCTCCAATTCAAGAAACGTACAGTTACCGTCTTTGGCATCCAGCAATCAGACATACCACAGTGGGGGAGGCCACATATGACACCAATCATCTTCTTGAAGATCAATACGATAGCTTGTAAAGTGCATGCGACTTACAGACCGACATCCAGCGGTGCCAGATCCCTAAACCGACATTCGTTGTAAGAAGATGCAAAAACTGATAATAATCTCCATATAAAACTGCAGACCTGCTGCATATGATAACATGATACAAATAGATTTCTCCAATCACATTAGTTAGGATAGTTTGCATTTATAATGTTGACGCCGGACAGAATAATGATTATCCTGCAGACGCTCCAACAAATGATTCACAAGAGAAAATTCGTCCAAAAAAACCAGAGAAAAAAAAGTATATAGGGTTTAATAAAAATATTATAAAATCAAAACAAATCCCGAAATCAGTTCACAAGCCGGACTGTTATAGTCAAAAATCGTCTTTATTCGAATTTTGCCAAAAATAACAAAATTCTGAAAATCACTCTAAATTGAAATTCGAAATAAAATAAGCAATCTCCAAAAAATCCGGCTTAAATCGGATTTAATTGACTTCCTAATTGACAATCGAAATATTACCATAAATAGTAAATATCTAAATCTAGTGATTCGGAGGGGAAAACGGTAGAATTTGATGTTGAAAAAAAGGCCACATGGAGCGTAGTTCGATGTAGAGAGCGTGCGCGTCGAAAAGAGCTTTTTGGATTGGGGTCTTATGCGCGATTCTGACACTTGTAGCCAAAGTTATGACCAAAAGACTCAAACATACTTAAAACGACTCCAATGAAGAACATGTCACAATCAATTCTCGCATTTTCGCTGATATGACAATTTATGGTATCTCAGCGCCATCAAGATATAATCTGACAGCTCAGCATCATCTGTCTCGGATCCTCTGTATCAAATATGCAATCTTGCCTTCAAATTTCATTGCAGCTTAGCAGAAATGATATCCCATTTTCATCAATTCTTCAGAGAAATGCAGATGAAAGATCCATGGGGAAAGGAATTCCCAAAACATTGTCCATGAAATAGTGCGGATGGGTACCGTCCATTACCACAAACTGCATATCTTCGGACGGCTTCCAGTGCCGTTTCCTTTGATTAATGAACCAGTTGTTGATTTGCTTCTGATCCAGACCGTTCGACTCGGCGTGGGCAAGCTTTTGATACTCTTGTTTCCGCCGGCACGACACACGGAAATGATTAAACAGATGCTTCAAAGATTTACGATAAAGAAATATGTTGTGCAATGTGTACGTACCGAAGGGTAAGACCATTTGTAATGTCTACTCCGCCAGTCCAGTAGCTGTTGCCTGGATTCCTTAGGCAGCTTCCCTTTCTTCTTCTTCTTCATAAATTCCTGCTTCAGGCTGCCTAAATATCCACTATACTTCCGCAAAAGCTGGCCTTTAAGTTCTCCATCTTCCGCAAGGGGATCGATGAAATCATTGTTCGCATCGACATCATCCTCCGATGATCCGTGCTTGTCAAAAGCTTCACCACAAGCTGAATACATGAGAAATTAGTAAGCAACTCAAATGAATGTCTCCGAATGACATGTTAGTTAATCAAGACAAGCATCTATAACCTAGGTTTCTCGAGCTTTTTAAAGTATTCGTGCTCGACACTCGTATTTGGTTCATAAACATGGGAATATAACTTCCAAATACACCACAAAAAGGTGATCAAACCCTTATGAATGCTAACTTTTCACTCTATAGACCCTAAGCAGGAGAATATCATTTACCAGAACTGGAAGAGGAAACCTTGAGGGCTTTGAATCGACACTCAACCCTTTGTAGGAAAAGCATGGTTTCCTTGAAATGTTTCGAGAGCTCTTGCTCGTATTTAGTCAACACCTCACAATAAGCCTCCATGAACTGGTCAAGAGCTGGGTCTTCACCTATGTTGCCGCTTCTGGTAGCACCGACGGTAGCCGCCGCGGATGCTTCTTCCAATCTCGCCACCACTTCCGGCGGCGCTCCTACCTGCTCAAGTTTTAAACACCAGCACCACCACAACGTCGTGATAAACTAGGCATTTATGAGTAAAACCCGCATGGTTTTGTTTGTTTTTTTACCTTCTGACAGTTGACATAGGCGGCCAGGAGACGTTGATAGTGAGGGTGAGCCATGATCTTGGACTTGATAGATCCGCCATCGTTGCTCGACTCCATGAAACAACACGTTGTGTTGTTGCTCTTGTCGTAACCGGTTTTCGTCCGGGCACGAAATATTAAATTTGGCGGAGAAATTGATGTGAATAAATAATTTTGAAAATAATTTGTGAGTCGCCATCGACCTTTTGGATCAGGTAGGTCGAATACCTAAAAATTTTTCTTTTAAAAGAGTTTTTAAAAAAACATCAATTAAAAAAAATGAACTGATCTGCGTTTTATAACCAAAAATTCGTTCTTAATAATAAAAAGGGATTCGTGGTCGGTTACGTTTAGGGAAGGATTAGCACCCCTACAACGCCCAAAATTGGTACTTTTTAATTATAAATTGTCTCTATTATTAAAATTATAAAAATTCAAAAATATATTTAATTTATAATCCTATTATTTCAAAATTATATATAAAAAAATATTTATTTATTTAAAATATCAGAAAAGAACTTCTAGGTGCCTTAAGACATCTCTTTTCTTTGATATTGATAAATATTAATTTAAATAATATTGTTAAAAAAATATCAGAATAGGACATCCAGTTGTATTAAGACTGTCCTTTTCTTCGATATTAAAAATAAACATTAAAGAATTTATTCCAGATTTATTATATATATATTTATGAATACATAAAAATATTTAAAAATATAAACAAATAAAATTAAAACAATAAAAATACCACTAAAACAATATATTTTAAAAGCAATAAAATAAATGAAAACTTATAAATTAAATGACTAAATTATAGTAAAATTAAAAACTAAAAATCTAATTCATAATTAATAGAAATATTAGGGATTAAAACATGTTATTTCTTTATTTTATTTATTTAATGACTAAAATAAAATTATCTAAAATGAGGATATTATAATAAGATAAATTAAAAATATAAACTAGGGATTAAAATATTATTTATTAAAATTAAGGGATTAAATCTGTTATTTACCCTATATACTATTTTAATATAAAGGACTAAAATAAATAAAATTGAAATTCGAAGACTGAATTACAACATTCAGAAGTTAGTTTCAGTGACTAAAATGAATAATTACAAAACTCGGATGGCTGCGGAAAGGGTTTGACCTTAATGGAAATTACACAAGTACCCCTCCCCCTAAACGGCGTCGTATGGTGGGGTATATAAAAAACCAAATGGCTGGCCCGTAGGGCCAGCATCTTCATTTGCTTCTTTCCCTCTGTCTCTCTAAAAAACGAGAGAAGCGTTTCTCTCTCGCTTCTCTCTTCACCAGATGAATTCCGGTTTCCTGTCGACAGCCGTGTTCCGGCCGATTGCCGCCGCCGGCCACCGTGAACGGTGGCCGGAAATTACAAAATCTATCCCAAATCGAAGCCCGATTTTCCCTTATCCTAGATTCAAACCTCGTTTCTCATAATAACCTTCTGATAACCCTAGATCTAAAATAAATCGAGGGATTTTTACCTTTGATTAAACGGCAGTTTGACGACGTTTGGTTTCTGACGCCGCTTTGGTAAGTCTTTTCACTCTTCTCTTGGTTATTTTTCTTCTTAAAATGGCTGTTTGTTGGTGTCGTTTGGCTTGCTGTCTTCTCTTTGTTCTGTTTGCTGTCGATGGTTTTCTTTGCAGATGTTTGATGGCTTTTATAGTCATCGTCGATGTCCTCTTCGGACCGGTCTCAAATGGTGACCCTAGGTGAGTCACCGGACTATGGTGGTGACTCACCATAGGGTTTCAACGTGGGGCGGAAACGAGGTGCTTCTGGAGGCTTCAGTTGAAGGTGGCTTCATGGAGGCGTGGCAGCTGACTGAGACGCCGACGTGGGGCGGCTGGAGGCAGAGGCGGCGCCGCGTGGTCCCTAGGGTATCATAACCCTAGGGTTTTTTTGCTGGACTGCATCAGGGCCGTTGGATCATATTAGATCCAACGGCTGAGGATCTGCGGCGGCTGGGACTTAGATACAAACCCTAAATGGGTTTAGGGTTACATATTTGGGCCACTGGGTTGGGCCAGATTTGGCCCGTTTGTAATAATAATTAATAATAATATTAGTAATAAATAATAATATTAATAATTATAATTATAATAATAATTATTATAATAATAATTATAATAATATTTAAATGAAAAAATGAGTATCTTCAGCTGCCCCTCTTGGCTTTTTTCTTGTGTTAACAAGAATAGAGCAAAGACGAAAAGATAATAAGTTTTTCATTTGACTTCACTTGGTTAATATGGAAATGTTGAATAAGTTCTTCTCTTTCTTCAGATGAGTTCTTCTCATTATGAACTTTCCGCTGGGGATGATGATCCATCAAATGATGAATTCAAGCAAAAGATTGAACAAGTTCTTCTCATTATGGACTTCTTCTTCCTTCTTCAGATGACGAGTTCTTCTCATTATGAACTCTTCCTGGCAATGTTGATCCATCAAATGATGAATTTAAACAAAAGGTTGAACAAATTCTTCTCATTATGAACTTCTTCTTCCTTCTTCAGATGACGAGTTCTTCTCATTATGAACTCTTCCTGGCAATGTTGATCCATCAAATGATGAATTTAAACAAAAGGTTGAACAAATTCTTCTCATTATGAACTTCTTCTTCCTTCTTCAAATGACGAGTTCTTCTCATTATGAACTCTTCCTGGCAATGTTGATCCATCAAATGATGAATTTAAACAAAAGGTTGAACAAATTCTTCTCATTATGAACTTCTTCTTCCTTCTTCAGATGACGAGTTCTTCTCATTATGAACTCTTCCTGGCAAAGCTGATCCATCAAGAGATGGATTTGAGCAAAAGGTTGAACAAATTCTTCTCATTATGAATTTCTTCTTCCTTCTTCAGATGAGTTCTTCTCATTATGAACTCGAACTGGTATTGTTGATCCATTGAATGATGGATTTAAATCTTTGCTAAAATCTTTGAAATTCCTGTCAAAATTCAACCTGGATAAAATGAATGAAAATGCACATATTTTTGCAAATGCCTAAATATGATGCATGAATGTTGATACAATCTTCATTTGACTTCAAAATGGTGAACTTGGTTTTCCTCCACTTCATCATTTATTGTCAGGGTCACCTTTGGATATCATTGTAGCAATTTATGCTATCAAGCTTGCATTTCTGAAGAACCATCTGATCAACTTGTATCTTTATGTCTTCTTTGCTTCATGAAAGTCTCAGAAGAATAGTTTTATTTGTGGAACTCTTGTCGTAGTCAGAATTATGACCTTAATGCCCCATTTTGTCTTGGATAAAACCAACTTTATTTGTTTGGACTTGTGTAGAAATCCCATAAAGTTTTCATCTTTGAAAATAGAATCTGTCATCTTTAAAAAGAGAATCTATCATCTTTGAAGAGTGTAGATGTAGATATGCATGACTCAGCAGGGATTAATTAAGAGAGTAGAGTCTGTTCTGATTTGACTCTTGAAACATATCACAAGGAGGATTTATTCCAATTCCTTTCATGTCTCCACATCTAATTGGATCTCGAACAAAGCAACTCAAACCATATCATGTAAAGATGTTTAACAACAACCTATTGTTTGATCTTAGTTGGCTCCAATAGTTTCATGTTGTTAAAATTTCAGCTATACTTCTGTGGAAAGAAATCTTCATCATATCTCAACTTCTAATCTTGGGGTTGAAGAAAACAGACTTCATCTTGGATCAAAAATGGAAACCATATGATCACAACATTGGTTCAGCACCATAATCACTGGTTCATAAAACATTTGACAATACATTCATCTTTTCCTGTGGTTTCTGTCGAGATGTAAAACATTTGACAACACATTCATCCTTTTCTGTGGCTTCTGCTCAGATGTTTGTAAAACATTTGACAACACATTCATCCTTTCTTGTGGTTTTTGCTCAGACGTTCATAAAGCGTTTGACAACACATTCATCATTTTCTGTGGCTTCTGCCAAGATTTCTTAATCATTGAAGCTCTTTGCCTAGTGTTCAAAGCTTTTGAATGATGTCATAAGACCATTTGAGAGCAAAACTCAGTGGAGATTCAAGTGTGATATTAGTATGACCAAAAAGTTGGGCAAATTCACAAAATGTACTAGTGTCGAATTGAATAGGAGATACCAATTGATCACGTTTTCATATCGGGCAAAGGCAAATATAATACTGATCACGTTTTCTTCTGTAATGAGCGTTGTAAGAATTAGAAACATATCAGCTATAGGGGCCATGTACAGGAAGAGGTTCATGGAATTCTTGCCGCTGGGGATGAAACACCCATGATAAAACCAAAATAGATGAAAACTCAGTTCACCCTGGCTAGTAATGATGATCCCAATAACAACGGGAATAACAGTAATATAAGGGAGAGTCGAGTCTCTCTTTTCAATGTCATCAAGTAAACAAAAAACTGATGTGAAAAACAGCTTCATAATCTCAACATTATGGTTGAAACTAACTGCTAGGAATCTCAAAGAAATATTTTCAATCATCACCGACACACAAAAGGCCAAATTCAGCTGAGATCCTTGAGGAACTGAACCTTGGAACGAGTAGTCTACCTGGGGACCATATTTATTCATGCAACCGTAATATAGCTTAACAAAGAACATACTATCATGTGACATACGGTTAAGAAGATTAGGTATTTGAAAACATACTTGCTGAGTAAACATTTGTTCAACAACATGATCATAATGTAACTGCCTGATGAACGAAGCAATTATGTATAGTCAGCTTCATTGTCATTGTTTCACCATTTTCATTCTTCATACCTTTCTGTCTCATTGGAAATATCTGTTCAAGTCAATGATCTTGACAGATGATGATGTGGGCCTTCAGCATGCCCCAACAATTGCTGATACGATCGTTCAAAAATGCATCAACAGTCCTAATTCTGATTGAAATGGGCTTTCAACATGCCCCGATATTTACTTCTTGTTAATCTGAGCCTTCAAAATGCCCACATGGATCTGTCTGAAGGAACCTTTAAAATGCCCTAACATTTGCTGATACAGATGTTAAAAGTGTGCTCAACATTACTTCTTGTTGAGATGAGCCTCCAAAAATGCCCAAATATTCATA